CTACAGGCTCCAGCCGCGCGGCCTCTCCCTTCGGCCAGGAACCTCTGCTTGGCGCGTCGCGGCGGCGGCCCCGGCCACACGCTACGCCCTGCAAGCCGGCAGCGTGCCGCTCTGCTCCGAGGGGGCGAGAGGCTGGGAACCAGCTCGGGGCGCTGAAGCGTGGGAGATTCCGGAGTGGATGGCGTGTGACGCCGAAGCGTGGCGGGCCAGAGCCCGCGGAGCGACACGCGAACCAGAAGTGCCCCACCGCAGCCCTCCTCTCCTCCGCCCAAACCTCCTCCTCCTCCTCCTCCTCCTCCTCCTCCTCCTCCGCACGTCGGGCCAGCTGCTCCCATGCGTTCTTCGCAGGGCGATGCTGCAATCGGCTGTTCCTTTCTGGGCACGCTCCAAACGACTGCTTTGCCCCCGCACCCGCCCCGGCCCACCTCCTCCATAAAGCCCTCCTCCGTCTACTCCTGCCACCCCCTTCCCCTTCCAGCCTCCTCCTCTGTACGTTTCTCCCGCTTCCGCCCCCTCCTTCTCCTTCTCTCCTCCTCCAAGCTTTCCTCCTCCTCCTCCTCCTCCTCCCACCTCCGCCTCCTCCTTCTCATCCTCATCCCACCTGCTCTCCTCTTTCCACCCCGTTGTGCGCGGACAGGCCCCATGCTGCAACCCTGCTTGGCCCCCCTGGCTCAAGTCCACAGGGCAAAGGCCGCGCCGGGGGGGCCTTCACCAACCTCAGGTTATGAGCCCCTCGCCCCCATTGCCAGTCTGTTCCCCTGAGCCTTCGCTCGCGCGCGCGACCGATCGGATGGCAGATGCTGCATCTCTTTTGACCCCAGTGACGATGACGACGATCTTGCCGAAACCACTTCTGGTCGAATGCAGGCTGCTGCTTAGTTCACTGCCGTTCCAACGGCACCGCTCATACGCGGGTCATCACCACGGCCACCAGCACAGACAGGAAGGCAAGCAGTACCTGCGCCCCTCTGGGCTGACAGTCGTGCTGCGGCGCCTCGCCAGGCTGGACGCCAGGAGGCGCCACCAGAGTTACTTGCACCACCACGGCAGGATCCAACACCAGCAGCACCGAGCGCCGCACCCGACGTGAATGTTTCCTCATGTGCAAGCTTAGGGAGAATCTTCCAGGGACCGCGCGTGAACTGCCCGCCGTGCAGTCAGGCGGCGGCGGCGGCCACTTGAGGCAGCCACTGCAAGCCCTGCCGAAAGGTCCCTGGTCCTTTCTGACAGTGAAGTCGTGGCGCGCGTGGGTCAGCACCAAGCTTGCCAGCTGGTGCGGGCTGCAAAGTGAGGGTTTCGCAGACGCGGTGCAACTGGTCCCGAATGGCCCAGATCTGGGCACTTCACTGGTAAACGACAACCTGGCCTTCACCGAAGTCAACAAGGCGTTAGCTTTCGAGCTCTGCGGGCTCGCGGACGACGAGCTACGTTTAGACTTCGACGAAGACCGCACCGATGGCATATCAATGCTGGCGGCTTTGGCCAGAGCCGTCCTGAAATTCAGTGCAACGTACGCGTCGGCCTTGAATGGTACGATCACGGACCCTGAACTGGTCACCGACAAAACCAAGTTGCAGCAAGCGCTTCGGATGTGGAATAGAGGAACAAAAGACGACATAAGCATGAACTTTCGGCACTCCGTGCGGATTTCTTGGATCTGCGCTGGACCCCCCTCCCTGGCGCGGGGGGCCCCGGGGTAGATCCAAGAGGTCCGCACGGAGCGCCAGAAGTTAATGGTTATGCCATCTTCTGTTCGACGGAAGGCTACCAACTTCACCTTGCCCCTCCTCCCTGCTCCTGTCGCCCTCTGCAATCAACCCGCATCTTCAGGATGAGCAACTTCCCAAGGTCACCCCTGCATCCTTGCCCCTTCGGCCAATCCCTGGCAACTTTCGCTGGCCAACCCCGCTCGGAAAACGTCGACATGGCTTTACAAGGCCCTTGCCTCCTCACCGCGCATCCTCACCATTTCCCTTCTCCTCCTCCTCCCGGGGCAGCTGGCCACCGCCAGGCAAACCAGCCCGAGGCAGGGTGCTGGCTGTGCCGCTGTGGCTCGTTCCATTACCCTTCGGTTCACGGGTTGTACATCCGCCGCCTTCCGCCGAGGAAGAGGCACCAACTGTCGGTCCCTCAAAGGCGAGGCCCTGTCTGGAACGCCCCACGTGGAGCCAGCAGGTTGGGCACCACACAATCCATGCCCCGCGCGCGCACATCCCCTCCCCCAAGATTGGCGGTCCATCGAAGCTGGACTTGGCGCCGATGTCCACAACAACTCCCGCCCCGTTCTGCGAAACAAATGCTGGCTGCTCCGCGCTTCTCCGCCTACCCACGCAGTGGGGCATGCGCCACCTCGCTCTCTGGAGGGTTTCTGGGTGCCCTAACGCCTCCCTGATCCTCCCTGGGACTCCACGGAACTTCAAGACTTCTGCGACGGCACCAGAACGCCCATGCGACGAGCCCTGGAAATCTGGACCACTTCCCTACTAAGGCAAATTTTTCGTCCCGCATCCTTTTTCGACGGCCCCGACGGCCCCTGGAGGCCGAAAACGGCCGCAAACCGACCGTTCCAATTCGTTTGGAGCGTCGGATCTATGGGTGCGCAGGGGGGCTGGCTGAGCGCGACTCGCAGCCTTCTCCTTCTCCTCCTCCTCCTCCTCGTCCTCATCCTCCTCCTCCTCCTCCTCCAACCCCCTGCACCCCGGGCTCCTCCTCCACCCCCTCCTTCTCCTCCTCCTCCTCCTCCTCCTCCTCCTAGGCCTTGGCCCAGGACAGGCTTGCAGCGGCCTCCTGTTTCTCGACCCCGCAGGACACAGTCTCGCCTGCGTGCCGCTCCCACCCACCAGATGTGGGCCTCCCTCTTCAGACAGTGGTGTACAACCCTCTTTCCATGACTGACTCATGGCGGGCGTTTGCCATCTCCTCGCGCCTCAGTTTCGCCGACATCGTGATGCCCCCAGGTACTCAAAAGAGGCGGAGACCAGGAGATGGTGCGACCATCCGCAAGTGCGGCAAACACTGGGAGATCGAGTATGGGTGGCAGAAGGGCCGACTGACGAACAAAAGTGCAGGATGTTCGCTGATGCTACGATGCCGTGCCTTCAGACATTCACACATACATCGGATATATGACCCCCGTCCGCCCTCGCTGGAAGGGCAGGACGTGTCAGATTACGTTCCTCTACCTTCGACATTGCTGCCTTCGTTCTTTACTACCCACCGCAGCAGCGACATCAGATAGACCACTGGAAGACTACTGTGCCCCGTCTAACGGAATGGAGACATGCCACAATCCAGCAGCTCCCGCGACGATGCTTGGTGATCGTCGGGACCGACGCCAACTGTGAATTCGGGCGGGCCTCCAGTGGCAATGGACCATACCAGTACACGGCGGACGGTATTCATGTGGGATCACATAACACGGCGACCGAGAATTACACATTCGCGGAGTGGTGGAGACTACTTCAGATGGAAGGATTATCTGTGGTCGACTCACACTTTCCGACAGGGCCGACCCACCCTGACCACATCTTTGCCCCGCGGGATACCACAGATGCGACACTCTCCTGCTGCACGCTCATGGGGGCAATGCGCGATCTCCAGCTCATCCCGCACGCCGACCCGAAGGATCACGCCCCCTTGCTCTGGCGCCTGAAGTACCGCCTCCATTACCAGGACGACCACGATGGCGACCCGACCTGGGATTACGATAGACTGGCGGGACTGGCTGCACCGAGAGGGGACCATGACCTCATCGGGGAACTGGAACGCCTCTGCGAGAACAAAACGGCTGTGTGGCGCGGCAATTCCAGAAAGGACGACCCCTCCGAGGGGTGGCAGTCACTTGTCTCTGACGTTCGAGAGGCCGCCCTACCCCTTTTCCAGCGTGGTGTTTTACCTGGCCCGACCACCGAGTACGTCCAACAACGGCAGGTGCTCCTCGAACGCCGACGAGATCTTGGCAGGCAATGCAGGACGGAGTCCGACAAGCTCGCCATCAGAGCCTGCGACCGTGAGATCAAGCGAATCAAGCGCAGACTTGACACCCAGCACGTCGAGCAGTTACTAAGGGGCGCCACCGCCGCCGCGGAGCAGGGGCATACTACGACAGTCTGGAAGCTTGCGTATCAGATTGGCGGCAGATACCATGGCGTGAGGAACCGACGTTTCAATGCGATACCGCACTACCTCCCCTCTTTGGATGAGTGGACGGAGACGCTACTGGCGGGGGCGGCAGAAGGAGGCTTATCGGCAGTGCAGGTCCCCGAGCCTGAATTTCCTGCGGAGATCGCCCTGGCGCTGCGGGAGCAGAACGGCCCTGATGGCACGTGGAAGGACCTACGTGGACACCCCGCAGCGACTGCCTACGACGACCAGACCGACACGCTGAGGTGCCTTCGACATGCGGCCCGCAGGCGCTACGCCCCGCCCCATTCCGCGCCCACCGAGCTCTGGTACGCCATCCTCAAGGCGGCCAGCATCGAGGCGCGAGGGGACCCGACAGGTGTCCCTGATGTCAGAGATCGACCTGACAGACCAAGTCGAGTACCGCACGTACACTGCCCGCGCCTGGCGGAGCGCCTGGGGGCTCTCTTTCGCCAGATTCGCACCGCCTGCCGCACGCCGTCCTGGTGGCACTGGTCGCGGACTTTCCAACTTCCCAAAGGCATGGATAAGGTCGGGACGAAGGCGATGCGTCTGACCCACTGCTACTGCCCCTTCGGCAAAGCCTGGTACCGTGGGATTTTCATCAGGCACCGCCGTCCGCCGCTGCCGCATAATTCTCATGGGTACGCCCGTCATCGATCGAGGCAGGGAGCACAGCTGGTCTCTAAGCTACATACGTGGAGATTACGACGTCTTCGAGTCAACCACCTCCAACTCAAGAAGGACATGACCAACGCCTTCCCCTCCACGTCCCACGACGTTTTGGAAGAGGTGGCGGGCCAGATCATTCCAGACATGCAGGACCAGCTGTTCCTCAAGCAGCGCCACACCGAGGC